AAACCATATTATTGGGGGCTGGCCCATGGCTCACTTGGGAGAGTGTGGTGCTGACAACACCAAGTTAAGTGTTAAGATCCCCTTACTGGCCATCTTTAAAAAAAAGCAAAAAAAAAAAAAAAAAAAAAAATGATCATCTCAACAGACATTGAAGAAGCATTTGACAAAATTCAACATCAGCAAATTAGGTATAGAAGGAAAGTATCTCAACATGACAAAAGCCATATGTGACAAACTATATTAGACTGTTTTGTGTTGCTAAAGCAGAAGTAACTGGGACTGGGTAATTTATAAGGAAAAGAGTTTTATTTGGCCTACAATTCTGGGACAGCTGCATCTAGCATTGGCCTCAGGGTGCTTCTCATGGTGGAAAGTGGCACACAGCTGACAGGTACAAGCAGATCACATGGCAAGAGGAAGCAAGAGAGTGGAGGTGCCAGAGTCTTTTTAAACAACCAGTTCTCATGGGAAGTAATGGAGAACTCACTCATTAATCCCCCACCCCCCCAGGGAGAACATTAATCCATTCATGAGGGATCCACCCCCATGACTCAGTCAGTTTACAGCACTGCCACTTGGGAATCAAATTTCCACATGAGTTTTGGAGGGGACAACACATACAAACTCTATCACAAACCTAATGTCTTTGTCATTCTGAATGAGAAGTTGAAAGCTTTTCCTTTAAGAATGGGAACAAGACAAGGATATCTGCCCTCAACTGTTATTTAACGTAACATAGGAAGTACTAGCCAGAGCATTCAGGCAAGAGAAAGAAAGCAAGGTCATCCAGAATGGAAAAGAGAAAGTCAAATTGTCCCTGTTTGCAGGAATCATGATCCTATAGAGAGAGAAGCCTAAAAAGTCTGCAAAAAAACTCTTATAGTCTGTAAACAATTTCAGTAAAGTTGCTGGATATAACATCAACATGCAAATATCAGTAGTGTTTTTGAACTAGCAGAAAGAAAGTCAAGAAAGCTATATTCCGTTTACAATAGTAACCCCCAAAATAAAATACCTTGGAATATAGTCAATGAAGGATGTGAAAGATCTCTACAATGGAATCTACATATCACTGTTGAAAGAAATTAAAGAAGACAAAAAAAGTTGGAAAGATATTCCATGCTCTTGGATTAGAAGAATTGGATTAAAAACTTAAATATAAGATCTGAAAGTATAAAACTCTTAAAAGAAAATATAGGAGAAACATTTCAGGAAGTAGGACTAGGCAAAGACTTTATGAATATGACTCCCACAGCATAGGCAACTAAAGAAAGAATAATTGTGATTATATCAAATTAAAAAGCTTCTGCATTGGCAAAAGAACAGCCTACACAGTGGGAGAAAATATTTGCAAACTATGCATCTGACAAAGCATTAATATCCAGAATATACAAGTAACTGAAACAATTTAACAGTAAAATAACAAATAGTCTGATTTTTTAAATGGGCAAAGGAGGTGAACAGGCATTTCTCAAAGGAAGATACAGAAATGTCCAACAGACACATGAGAATGCTCAACATCACTCAGCAGCTGAAGTGTAGGTCAAAACCACGCTGAGATATCATCTCACTCCAAACAGACTTCCTTTTATCGAAATGGCAGAGAATAACAAATGCTGGTGAGAAGGTGTAGAAAAAACAACCGTACTATATGGTGAGTGGATCTGTAAATTGGTGCAGCAGTTATGGAAAATGGTGAGGATGTTCCTCAACCAGCTACAGATAGTACTGTAAATGACTCAGCAATCCTGCTACTGGATATGTATTCAAAGGATTGGAAATAATCATATAGAAGGGACAGCTGTACTCCCATGTTTATTACAGCTCCATTTGCAGTAGCCAGTAGTTGGAACCAACCTAAATTTTCATCATTGGATGACTTGATAAGGAAAATTTATATTTACAGAATGGAATATTACTTTGCCATAAAAAGAATGAAATATTGCCATTCACAGCAACATGGATGAACTTAGTAAAGAGTATAAGTAAAATAAGCCAGGAACAAAAAGAGAAATATTGCATGTCCTTGTGTGTGGGATCTAATAAAATATATAAGTAAACCAAGAAACACATCACAATAAATAATGCATTGAACTTTATGAGAAGAAAACAGAACTGAGGTTACCATAGGTAGGAGATGGTCAAGGGTATTGGGGCAGGGAGTAATTGGTAAAGGGCCACAAATATTGGTTACATTATATAATGAAGGATATATACTAATCCTGATTTAAACATCACATATTGAACATACGTGCTGATACTCAATGCTGTACCCCAAAGATAATGTATAATCAACTGTATTGCAATAAAAAAAATTTTTTTTAAGCTTTTTATTGTACCTTCACTTATTCCTTTAATTCTCTTTTTGATCTTTGGTTGGTGCCTGATATTAATTAGTGGAAATTATCACACATTATTGTTTTAAACATTTCTTTTATTTTTCTCCATCTGTCTTCTTTTGCTGGTTTTCTTCTTACTCTATGTTACAACTTTTGTCATTCTCCAACAGTCTTTGGATATTATGTTCTGTTCCTTTTTGTCTACTTCTTGTGTGTGTATACTTTTCAGTTCTTAATTTCTTTGATGTATCCTCAAGCCCAGAGATTTTTTTTCCTCTGCTGTGTTCAGTCTCACCATGTTGGTGAAAGTATGGTGCCAATAATATTAAGGACCACAGTTCAATCCCTATACTGGTCAGTTGCCTTCCCACTGTGTATCTTTCTAATGTCTACGTAATTGTTTAGAGGATTTTTGGAGCTGGCCCATGGCTCACTTTTGGAGTGTTTGGTACTGATAACACCTAGGCCAAGGGTTTGGATCCCCATACAGGGATGGCTGGTTGGCTCACTTGGGAGAGCATGGTGCTGAGGACACTAAGGTTAAGGGTTAAGATTCCCTTACCAGCTATCTTTTAAGTAAATGAATCAATAAAAATAAAGGATTTACATTCATAGAAGTATGAATATGTTGGATTTGAAACCACACCGAGTGCAAAAAAAAAAAAGTAAATACAAGATGGATTGATTGGTAGACTTCTTAATACTGAGTTCCCCTTTAATTGTGGAATAAATTTAGGAAATTTATTTTTGTACTTCACAGTCTATTGCTTTTTGTCTCATATTTAAAGATAGAGTGCTTCTGCAAACTCTGTCCTTTGTTTCAATTTATTTTTCTTGGACTCTCTTAAGTTTGCTTACTTATTCTGATAGCTTCAGGTAACATCGAAATTTTGATGCTTTCCTGCTTTGGACTGAGTGTCCCCCAAAAACCTGACCTGCACTGTGACACTGTTAATATGGTGGGAGATCCTATTAAGGTCATTGAAAGGTGGGACCTTGAAGATGTGATTACATCATAGGACCAAGATGTAATGAATGGGTTAATAATGGTGGGCAGGCGTGTGGTTCTGAGGGCTTTAAAACAAGAACAAATAAGAGGTTAACCTCTTTCTGCTCTGCCATTTTCTACCAGGTGAGACCCCTGGGTCACTGTCGTCTCCACCAAGGCCTTCACTGGCTGTGTTCCCTGGACTTTGGACTTTCTGGCTTTTGAATCTGCAAGCAGTAAATTTCATTTTCTAACAAATCACCCATTCCTAGGTATTTTGTTATAAGCACCAGAAATGGACTAATACATTTCCAAGTCATTATCTTCAGCTTAGATCTCTTTCTCTCTTGAACTCTGGAATCGTGTCCAATTGCCATTTGGACATTCCCACAGATATTTCAAGTATAATGTGTTGAAGTTTGTTTCATTTCTACCCATTATATTTTTCTGCCATTCTTCAAAATATACTTTACAGTGCCAGTATCTCATTAGCTGTGGCTATGTAGAGAGCCTGAGAATAAAACATGCTTTTATTTTCTGCACAGGAATTTAATACCACAGTGTCTTCCTGCTTTTTATTTCTGTTTCTTTTTCTTTTTCATAGTATTACTTCCCTCTTCTATATGCTTACTGCTTTATGTTCTATCTATTCTTTTTTTTTCCTATTGGGTTGCCAGTACAGAGATGTGGGCCTATGACCTGAGTGTTACTAGAATCATGCTCTCCCAAGTGAGTAACTGGCCAGGCTTGATCTGTGTTCTGCATAGCTAGTCTTCCATTACCCTGTTTTCTTCCCCTCAGACTCTCTCCAATGTTCTTTCCTTACTCTTTCTAGTGGGTGACTATTAAATTGTAAGTATAGTTATGTAAGTGATTTGTTTTTACAAAACTACATTTACACCCTGTGGTTTAGAAAGTGTCAGTGTTCAGTCACATGCAGACACAAGCAATGCTTTAGTATGTGGGAAGGAAATTTTGGAGTGTGTTTATATATGCTTTCAGTGTATAAGTAATTAAAAAACAGCAAATGAATGTTTTACTGTTTAAAATAGACAAATGTTTTAAATGCAGAATCATTCCATTGTGCATATTTTTAAATATTGTGTGTATCTGTTATCACTGCTCACAAGCATTCATCTAGACATGGTGCCATGTGTAGTTCCATAAACGTGGGGTGTCTTCCTTTGCTCTTTTGACTACAGTTTTGCTCTTGCCTCATATTCGTGAGAACATATGGTTCACATGGACAGGCTTAACATCTTCACTTCAGTAAAGTGGAAACAGAATACAATGTAGAATTATATTTTGTTTTTCTTACTGCATTCTCTATTGAACTTGTTCTAACACACTGGTTCAGGTATGTATTGATATTTATGTCTTCATACCTGAGTATAAACTCCTTAGAGAAGCAACATTTTATTCGTACCTTTATCACTAGCAACAACGATGGTTATTAGCTATAAGGTAAGCTCTGTAATCATATTTTTAGTAATCAATATATCATTACAGTGACAGGATATTCCTGCTGTGTTTTTTTTTTCCCTACACCACGTGGAGTCCCAAAAAGCAGCATCTTATTTAATACATACAACACACACTGAAATGTGAACTCTGAGATTCCTGTTTGTGACCCAGCGCTGGTGGCTTGAATTGACATCGATGTGCCATTACAGGAATTAGTGTCATTTGACGATGTGGCTGTGGACTTCACCTGTGAGGAGTGGCAGGACCTGAATGATGCTCAGAGGACTTTGTACAGGGATGTCATGCTGGAGATCTATAGCAGCCTGGTGTCACTGGGTGAGTGAAACTCCCCAGTATCATTCAAGAGATATACTTTGTTATTTTTTTTATAAACATAGGAATGATTTATAGGGTTTTATGCTATTTGGTAAGATTACATTTAATGAAAAACATGTCATCCCTGTCTCAGAAAAGATTCAAATTGGCTTTTTTATTGCGTAATTTCTGTAGCTGAACTCTTGTCATTCTTCCAAGGATCTCACTTTGTACTTTTATAAAGTCCTATGTTACTTCCTATTAACAGGGTACTGCATTAGTAAACCTGATGTGATCCTCAAGTTGGAGAAAGGAACAGAGCCATGCATGATAGAAGAGCACCCAAACCAAAGCCTCCCAGGTTAGTAAGCACATACTGGGCAGAGGCCAAGAAGAATAAAACCCAGCAGATCTTGGCTGTGTTCAGCTGTTTCTGGCAATTTTTCCCCAGGTCCCTGAGCTGAAGCTGGCTCAACTCCATGCATCAAACACATGTATTATATACTCTCTTAGATGCACTCACAGATACATATCTGCATATTTTACTTTGCTGGGGTTTTGTTTTTTGTGAACATTCTTAAAATATAATCCCCACATTTCTCTTTGACATTTATTTTTGCTATTCACTTTTTCAATATTGTCAGTTGTCCTTGTGTCCTTCAATCTCATGGAGATGGTTTTTCAGACTCTATCCTTTTTGTGTGTGTGCGTGTTTTAAAACAGAATATCTGTTTTACTCAGAATATCTGAAATTGGGTAATTTATAAAGAAACAAGCTGTCTGTTACTGTTCTGCTTGGGATCTCAGCCACTCCAAGTTCAAGGGGCTGTATTTGGTGAGGGCCTTTTTTCTGGTGGGGATTCTTGGTAGAATCCCAAAGTAGTGTAGGGTATCACTTATGAAGTTGATAAAAAAGGACCACATGTGAGCCTGTGTACCAGCACATAAGAAATTATGTAGCTAAAGAAAACATCATAGGGGCATGGAAGAGGATAGTTCTGGACTTTACAGAGGAACTAGGAGACTCTGGGTGCCAAGGGCAAGTGAATCAGTGGTTTCAAGATGAGAGGCTGAGATTGCTGTTTGGAAGTTGATGAAATTAGGATGTTTTGTCCTCCCAGAACTTGTGGAAATTTGATCCCCAATGTGGCATCGTTGGAAACTGATTGAATCATGGGGGCAGGTTCCTCATCAGTGGATTAGTTCTCTCTCTAAGTGGAGGGAGTAATGAGTGAGTTCTCACTCTATTGGTTCCCATGAGAGCTGGTTGTTTAAAAGACTTGGGAACCTCCTCTCTCTCCCTCTTGCTTCCTCTTGCCATGTGATCTGCTTGTACCTACCGGCTGCCTGCCACTTTCCACCATGAGTGGAAGCAGCCCGAGGCCTGTGCCAGATGGAGCTGTCCCAGAATCATAAGCCAAATCTCTGTTCTTTATAAATTACCCAGAATGAGGTATTTCTGTTACAGCAACACAAATGGACTAATACAGAAAGGTGGTACCAGGAGTGTGGTGTTGCTATACAAATACCTGAAAATGTGGATGCAGCTTTGGAATTGGATTTTAGGCAAAAGTTGGAGGAGTTTGGAGGAGTTAAGACAGAAAGATGTGGGCCGGCCCGGTGGTGCACTGCTACAGTGCGCCGCTTGGGAGCGCAGTGGCGCTCCCTCCGAGGGTTCGGATCCCACATACAGACCGGTTCCCGCTCACTGGCTGAGCGAGGTGCGGGCGCAGCACCGAGGGTTGCGATCCCGTTGCCGTTCCCAGTCCGGTACGGGGGCGACACTGAGGGTTGCAATCCGTTGCCGGACACGAAAAAAGACAAAAAAAAAAGAAAGATGTGAGAATGTTTGGAAAGTTTTAGAGATTGGTTCAATCTTTGTGACCAGAATGCTGATAGAAACAGGGACAGTAAAGGCCATGTAGATGATGAGGTCTCAGACAGAAATGAGAAACTTATTGGGAATTGGACAAAAGATAACCCTTGCTACAACATAGTAAGGAACTTGGATGCATTGTGTCCATACCCTTGGACATTGTGGAAGGTGGGACTTAAGAGTGGTGAACCAAAATGTTTGGCAGGAGAAATTTCTAAGCAGAAAACCATTAAGGAAGCTGCATGGTTACTTCTAACAGCCTACTCTGAGTTATGGTGGCAAAGGCTGATATAAAGCCAGAACTTAAAAGGGAAGCAGGGTGTAACGATTTGGAAAGTTTGTAGCCTGGCCATTTGGTAGAGAAGTGTAGAGCAGGAGAAAAACACAAGTGTGAAGCACATAAACTGATTGCTAAAGGCATTAACTTGGGGTAAGGCAGCCAGATGCTAATAGGAAGGACAATGGGAGAGTGGCCCTGAAGGCATTTCAGAAGTCTGGAAGGGTGCCCCTCCCATCAGAGGTCCTGAGGCTTAGAAGGACTGAGTTGTCACAGAGGACAGACCTGGGACGCAGCTGCCCTCAGGAACAAGCTACCAGCATCCCAGCTGCTGTGGCTGGAGCATCCCTGCCTCAAGTGTAGTTTGTGCAGCAGCTCTGGAGAGTAGAATCCTGAAACCTCAGTGGCATCCACATTGTGTTGTCTGCAGGCCAGCAGGATATAAGAGCAGTGGAGGTGTGGCAGCCTCCACCTAGATTCCAGAGGGTGTATGGAAAAGCCTGGGGGCCCAGGCAGAGACCTGTCACAGGGGCAGAGCCATCACAGAGGCCATCTACTAGAGCAGTGGTGAGCAGGAAATTAGGGTCAGAGCCCTCACAGAGGGCCTTCACCAGCAAAACTTCTAGTAGAGCCAAGGCAGCAGGTCTGCCATCCAGACCCCAGAACTGTAGGGTCAATGGTAATGTGCAACCCAGGCCTGGAAAAGCTGCAGGCACCAGTGCAGTGCACTGGGCTGGGCCTGTCAGAGCTGTGGAAGCAAGGCTGCCCAATGCTTTGGGAGTCCACATGCCCCATTGTACCCAGGATGCAGGACTTGGAGTCAAGGAAGATTATTTTGGAGCTTTAAGATTTAATGTCTGTCCTCCTGGGTTTTGGGCTTGTTTGGGGCCTGTTTCTCCTTTCTTTTGGCTTTTTCCTTTTTGGAATGGGAATGTATACCCAATGTCTGTTCCACCATTGTGTCTTGGTAGTAGATAAATTTGGTTTTGATTTTTACCAGTTCACAGCTGGGAGGCCTTTTGCTTTTGGTCTCAGATGAGACTGGACTTTGGAGTTTGGAATTTTAAGTTGGTGTTGGAGAAAGCTAAGAATTTTGGGATTGTTGGGATGGAATTATTGTACTTTGAATGTGAGAGGGACATGAGGTTTGAGAGGCCAGGGGCAGAAGGATGGAGTTGGGTGTTTTGTCCTCCCAGAACTCATGTGGAAATTTGATCCCCAATGTGGCAGTGTTGGAAACTGATTGAGTCATGGGGGCAGATCCTTCATGAATAGATTAGTGCTCTCCCTAGGTGGGGGGAGTAATGAGGTAGTTCATGCTCTATTAGTTCCCGTGAGAGCTGGTTGTTTAAAAGAACTGGGCACCTCCAGTCTCTCTTGCTTCCTCTCTCCATGTGATCTGCTTGTGTCTGCCAACTGCCTGCCACTTTCCACCATGAGTTGAAGCAGCCTGAGGCCCATGCCAGATGCAGCTGTCAGAAAATCATAAGGCAAATAAACCTCTGTTCTTTATGTTACCCAGACTCAGGTATTTCTGTTACAGCAACACACACGGATTATAACAAATGTCATTTGAAGTTTGTATTTTTCTCTTCTCTTTGTAGACATCATTATAAAACAACAAAGAAAAGTAGAAATGTACAGGAGACCACTTTTTTATTTGCAGATTATTCAAAATTCCAATGCATAATACTAAAGCTTTCATGAACAAGGAATTATCAAGTGGAGTTTATTCCAGAATTTCAGAACACAAGTCGATTTTAGGAGTCAAAAAAACCTTTTACAAAGATGGTTTCACAGCCTTGGTTTCAGAACCAAATACTTCAGACCAACAGGAGAGGGCTGTCTGGAGGGGTGGACTGAAATTTCATGTACACTAACGGTTCTGAGAAGCATGGGATGTCACATTTAATGAGTAATTTGTGGCTGGCTCTGCTTAGGGTGGAGAAAAGTAGATTTTATTATTTGTTAAACTTCCACATACCTATTACCATTTTCTAGGGAAGAGGATAAAGTATGAAAACATGAATGCAAAATTATTAACCTCAATCATTCTTTATATGTGATGAAAAATTGCCTCACTCTTGAATCTGAAAGAGCCAATGAAGGAAAACCTAGCCATTTTCAAAGCAGAAGAATGAGAAAAAGAGGAGCAGGTGATAAGCACTATTGATTTAAGAATAAAACAGTCTCAAAGGTGTAAACACAAGGAATGTGAGAAGCAGCTATTTCAAAACTACAATTAGAAGGTAAAAATTATCACATATTTCATCATATCAAAAAAGAAAAAAGTGAATATAGAAGTAAAGAAAAAGTTACATAATTTTTGAAAATGTGTTAATATAAGATAACATTGTCAGTAGGAAGAAAACCCACATACTCATGAAGCCAATATCCATTATTGATTTTTATAAAATCTTCTTTTACTAGGATTGGGAGAAACCTCTCTCCCTTTACATAAGCATGCAATAAAATATGCTTATGTGTGGTTAATGGATATTGTTATTTTTTCTCATTTCAGATGTCCAGATAGCCAGTCACCTAGCTGAGAGCAGCCAAGAAAGTCACAGTAGATACTTCCGGCAAGGTGTAATCATCAGCAGGAACCGATCAACTGAGGAGAGAGTTGATTTAGTAAAATCATTAAATTTGAGTTCAGAGCATATTTTAAATCTGGTGATAAATGATAGAAGATATTCAGGAGTGGAGCATGAGGAATTTAATGTACGTCAGAATGCACTTCAAGAGACTGATGACCTACATGCTGGAGAGAAATCTGATGTCCATAATATAACTGGGAAATCACAGAGACAGCACAAGCATCTTAGTCAGCATCCCAAGATTCAAACTAGGCCACCTTCTGAATACAGTGGAAAAAGAAAATCCTTGAACTCAGTGCCAACAATGTTTAAATATAAGAAGATTCATATGGGTGTGATCACCTGTAAATATAACGAATATGGGAAAGCCTGTGATAAATCAACTGTTATAGCCCAAAAGAAAACTTTTCAATGTCATGTATGTGGGAAACTGTTCTATAAAAAGGCTAAACTTGCTCAACATCAGATTATACACACAGGAGAGAAATATAAATACAGTGAATGTCAGAAATCTTTTATCAAGAAATCATATCTTACCTTATATCAGGAAACATGTACAGGGAAGAAGCTTTATCCATGTAATGGACAGGAGAAATTTTTGCATCAGAAGTCAGACCTTACTATGAATCACAGAATTCAAACAGAGGAAATGTCCTATGGATTTACTAAGTATAGCAAGAACTTTCATGAGAATTCACTTCTCAACTGTCATCAGACAATTCACACAAGTGAGAAATCATCTGAATGTAATGAATGTAGGAAAACTTTCTACCATAATTCTGCCCTTACCCTATATCAGAGACTTCACATAAGTGAGAATCCATATGCATGTGAAGAAAGTCAAGTTTTCTACAGTAAGTCAAGACTTCACGAACAGAGAATTCACACAGGTGAGAAACCATATGAATGTAAAGAATGTGGAAAGGCTTTTAACCAGAATTCAATCCTCAGCAGACATCAGAGAATTCACACAGGTGAGAAACCATTTGAATGTAATGAATGTGGAAAAGCTTTTAACCAAAAGTCAATCTTCAGTAGGCATCAGAGAATTCACACAGGTGAGAAACCATATGAATGTAAAGAATGTGGAAAAGCTTTTAACCAAAAGTCAATCCTCAGCATGCATCAGAGAATTCACACAGGTGAGAAACCATATGAATGTAAAGAATGTGGAAAAGCTTTTAACCAAAAGTCAATCCTCAGCATGCATCACAGAATTCACACAGGTGAGAAACCGTATGCATGTAAAGAATGTGGAAAAGCTTTTAAACAAAAGTCGATGCTCAGCTTGCATCACAGACATCACACAGGTGAAAAACCATATGAATGTAAGGAATGTGGAAAAGCTTTTAACCAAAAGTCAATCCTCAGCATGCATCAGAGAATTCACACAGGTGAGAAACCGTATGCATGTAAAGAATGTGGAAAAGCTTTTAAGCAAAAGTCGATGCTCAGCTTGCATCACAGACATCACACAGGTGAGAAACCATATGAATGTAAAGAATGTGGAAAAGGTTTTAACCAAAAGTCCAATCTCAGCATGCATCAGAGAATTCACACAGGTGAGAAACCATATGAATGTAAAGAATGTAGGAAAGCTTTTAAACAAAAGTCACACCTCAGCCGGCATCAAAGAATTCACACAGGTGAGCGAACATATGAAAGTAAAGAACATGGAAAAGCTTTTAAACAAAAGTCAGCGCTTAGCTTGCATCACAGCAATCACACAGGTGAGAAACCATATGAGTGTAAAGAATGTGGGAAAGGTTTTAACCATAAGTTGATCCTCAGTATGCATCAGAGAATTCATACGGGTGAGAAACCATTTGAATGTAAAGAATGTGGAAAAGCTTTTAAACAGAAGTCAATGCTTAGCTTGCATCAGAGAAATCACACAGGTGAGAAACCATATGAATGTAAAGAATGTGGAAAAGCTTTTAACCAAAAGTCAGTCTTCAATAGGCATCAGAGAATTCACACAGGTGAGAAACCATATGAATGTAAAGAATGTCAAAAAGGTTTTAACCAAAAGTCCAACCTCAGCATGCATCAGAGAATTCACACAGGTGAGAAACCATATGAATGTAAAGAATGTGGAAAAGAATGTGGTAAAGCTTTTAAACAAAAGTCACACCTCAGCAGGCATCAGAGAATTCACACAGGTGTGACACCATTTGTATGTAAGGAATGTGGGAAAGGTTTTATCCAAAAGTCAGACTTCAGCATGCATCAAAGAATGCAACCATGTGAGAAGGCGTATGAATGTAACAGATGTCAAAAATCTTTTAACAAGTCATACTTCATGTTGCATCAGAGTACTCACACAGGGAAAATTCCTTATGAATGTAATGAATGCGGAAAAGCTTTTAAACAAAAGTCCCATCTCAGCAGGCATCAGAGAATTCATACAGGTGAGCAACCATATGAATGTAAAGAATGTGGAAAACCTTTTAAAAAAAGGTCACACCTCAGCATGCATCACAGAATTCACACAGGTGAGAAAACATATGAGTGTAAAGAATGTGGAAAAGCATTTAAACGGAAGTCACACCTTAGCACACATCAGAGAATTCACACAGGTGAGAAACCATATGAATGCAAAAAATGTGGGAAAGCTTTTAACCAAATGTCGATCCTCAGCATGCATCAGAGAATTCACACAGGTGAGAAACCGTATGAATGTAAAGAATGTGGGAAAGCTTTTAACCAAAAACCGTACCTCAACAGGCATCAGAGAATTCACAAAGGTGAGACCCCACGTGAATGTAGGGAATGTTGAAAAGCTTTTAACCAAAAAACAGCCTTCAGCATGCATCAGAGAACTCACCCAGGTGAAATGTCCTGCGAATGTAATGGATGTAAAAAAATGTTTACCCATAGGTCATACTTCAGGATGCATCAGAGTACTCACATGCAAAAAACTTTGAGTTTAAAGAATGTGGAAAACTTTTTTTTGTTTGTGGCTGGCTGGTTCAGGGATCTGAATCCATGACCTTGGTTGTTACAAGGCTGTGCTCTGACCAGCTGAACTAACTGGCCAGCCAAGAATGTGGAAAAAATTTAACTGAAAATCAGCCCTCAGCAGGCATCAGAGAATTCACATGATTGAGAAACAATATGAATGTAAAGAATGTGGAAAGGGTTTCAACAGAGAGTCAGCCTTCAGCATGCATGAGAGAACTCACACAAGTGAGAAGTGCAACAAATGTAATGAATGTGGAAAAACCTTTAACAAGTCATACTTTGGGACGTATCAGAGTACTCCCACAGGAGAAAAAGAAAACCTGAATATAAACAATGTGGAAAAGCTTTTAATTGAAAGTTGACCCTCAGTTCACAGGTTACAAACCATCTGATTGTAAAGAATTTGGAAAAGCTTTTAACCAAAATTCATCCTTCAACATGCATCAGAGAATTCACACAGGTGAGAAGCGTTGCAAAGATAATGAATGTGGAAAAATCTTTAACAGCAAATCATCCCTCAGGATGCACCAGAGTACTCATGGGGGAAAAAAAAACTTATGAATGTAAAGAATATGGAAAAGATTTTAACCAAAAACCAAACCTCAGCAGGCATCAGGGAATTCACACAGATGTGAAACCATATGAATGCAAAGAATGTGTAAAAGATTTTAAAAACCAGTCACACTTTAGAAGACATCAGGATACTCACATGGGGGAAAAATATGAATGTAATGAACATGACAAGCTTTTTACAGGAACTTCACCTAATAGACATAAAAGGATTCACACGGGAAAATCACAGTGAATGTAATGGGTACAGGAAAAGATTTTGCCAGGAGTCACACCTCAAGCTACATCAAAGAACTTACATCAAGAAGATGTATTAATGTATAATTGTTCTTGGGCCGGCCCGGTGGCGCACTGCTACAGTGCGCCACTTGGGAGCGTGTCAGCGCTCCCGCCGAGGGTTCGGATCCCACATACAGACCAGTTCCCGCTCACTGGCTGAGCGAGGTGCGGGCGCAACACCGAGGGTTGCGATCCCGTTGCCGGTCCCGGTCTGGTACGGGCGCGACACTGAGGGTTGCAATCCATTGCTGGTCACGAAAAAAGACAAAAAAGGAAAAAAATAAAATAAAATAAAATAAAATA